ATTTATATTGATATAGCTTTAGATAGATATATTTATATTGATATAGCTTTAGATAGATATATTTATATTGATATAGCTTTAGATAGATATAATTATATTGATAGATATAGCTTTAGATATATATACTTATATTGATAGATATAGTACAATAGTCCAGCCTTGAAGTAACAAATGCTTGGACTAGTTTCTCAGCATCATCCCTGGACAGGAGATTTCTAATTTTTGCAATGTTGTGCAGATGAAAGAAGGAAATTCCAGAAATCTCTTTGATATGGGATTTAAATGACAGGTCCTGAAAAATAACACCAAGATTTTTTACTTTATTATGTGAAATCAACTGGGATGGCAAGTTCAACAGAGCTATGGCTCTAGGTGAGTTTGGCAACTGTATTAAAAAGGAAATGGGGGAAAATTAAAGAGATAAAATTAATAATATGAGAAAAAAAGGTCCTAGGACGATAAAGTCAAACAAAAAAAAGTAGAACAAAATTGGTAATGTTATGAGAAAAATGTCATATATTGATAACTAAAGGGGAATATTTCCAGAGTAGTCACAGTTTGCAGAACAATTTCAGTCTTGGAGTAATAAGATCATGTTTGATTATTTAAAATCATTTTTTCTTCTTTGTGAGAATAAAGTCAATATGAAGCCAAGGGATACGAAATAAACTTGTAATATTACAAAAAATTAAATATTACAAATATGAAATATATTCTGAGATTAAAGTCCCTCTAGTACTAAGTGTCTGAGTCTAACAGCAGATTTGCCACATTCAACATGGCGGATGCTCTGACTCATGCGAACCACAGACAGACTCCATCCAACGAGGCGTCTACGGACCGGGACTACAGAGAGGAGGTGGAGCAGCTGGTGTAGAGTCAACAGCCTGATCCTGAATGTGGAGAAGATGAAGGAGATCATTGTTGACTTTAGGAAGATCCGGCCAGACCATGCTCCACTGCTCATCAACAGCTCGGCTGTAGAGGTGGTCAGCAGCACCAAATGTTTACAAATATAAAATAAACCGCAGACAACCACATTTTATCTTTTATTTTATCAAGTTAAAATTTATTAAACCAATAGTTACAATACATTTAACATATTACAGTAATTATTGCAGTAGTTACCACTAATATAAAAAACACAATGGAAAAACTAACAAACAGCAAGGTTAAATAATATTGTGCTGTGGGCATTGAGGACAAATTAAAGTCTTAATATTGAGGTTTACCAGAAACCTATACATACAGACCAATACATTCATTTTGACTCTCATCATCTACTGGAACATAAACTTTTAGTGATCAGGACGCTGAGTTACTGGGCTGACAATATTCCCTAAACTACAGAGGGTAAATAAAAGAAACAAAAACATGTTAGGAAATCACTTGAAGCTTGTGGTTATCCCAACTGGCTGTTTATTAAGTCAGCAAAACCAACTAGCAGGAAGAACCACACTGCTGAACACACAGAGATGCAAAAACATTGAAATTGTATATGTTTAAGAAATCTCTGAGAAACTCAGATGGAATTACTCAAAACACAACATACCAGTGAACTTCAAGGCTAAAAACAAACTCAGACAAAAACTGGTTCCTCCTAAAGACAGAACACTCAAACCTAAGCTGCACGGCGCTGTGTATGCAATCCAGAACAGTGAGGACAGTACAGCCTTCTATATTGGAGAAACCAAACAACAATCAGACAAACATACGACATAGAGCCAGCATTTCTGGGCAAGATTTATATATACACTTGCACCTCAAGAAAAAAAGACACACCTTTGAATACCAGTTTTCAGATTTTGGATAGAGAGGACAGATGGCTTTAAAGAGGGATACAGAAAGCAATCTTTGTGAGAAGCCATCACCAAACAGAGGGGCAGACTTGCAGTTTTAGCTTCCAAGCATTAAAAAGCTAATCATGGAAGACATTCCCAAGAAACGGCATAAGCACTAATATTATGACTCAAAAAGCAAATCACACGGCACATGAACAACAAAAAACTCCAATAATCCAAAAAAAAAAATAAAAAAATCGGGTGCCTACTTGATTTGCATCTGACTTGGACTTAGGAGGATGCACGTCCATGCTGCTAAAATACATCAGTGCTCCAACTAGAGATTGCTCTGTTGTGAGCCAACAGAATTGACGAAGACTCCTGGATAGTTGTCGAACTGACAGGTTGCCTTCCAATTTAAGCCTGTTAACGGTTGCCATAACCTGGATGACTGTGGGTTAAAAAAGCCAACCAGCTAGCTCCAACAGGTCGTAGAGACACAGAGTCGGAACAATAAGCTAACCGTGAAACGGATGAAAGGAAGGGCAGCTTAAGAGAGAGACAGTGAACCGTTACTCAGCATAAAGCTTGGCTAATGCTTGATGCATCCGTGAGGTAAGTATAGGAAAATAACATGATTTATGACTTCCAAGCCCCGCCGTACAGCCTCCATGCAAAGCACACTAAGGAAAATTTGTAAATACATGGACAGGTCAGCGCAAAAAAAAAAAAAAAAACATGGCGAAAGAGCAACAGCTTCTGCTGGCGAGAGTTTGCAAATGTAAACATATGGAGACATGCATTGATTTATCTCATAAATACCACCACAATTGACCTGTCCAGGGTTTACCCTGCATCTCGCTCGTAGATAGGCACCAGCACCCCTCGCAACCCCACTTGGGGTAAACGTGACGGAAAATAGATGGAAGGATACCACCACAATCAATGAATTGTGAAAAAACTCTCGGGAAGAAATTACTGTCCGTCATCTATGGCATGAAAAGACTTGGCTGTGTTTTCTACTTCCTGGTGTACTGGGTTTTTGTAAGCTTGGTGTTTGTGCTGTACACGCCCACCCCAGGAGTCAGCCAGAAAAGGAGACATTGCGAGAGGATGCTAATTTTATCTGTGGCTTGTATGTGCATCAGGCATAACCTTACTTTCAGTCACTCTCGGGGCAACTGCTTAACAGAAACCATAAAAATAAAAGGATTTTCACATGAATTTAGCCACACTAGGAAACATCAAACAGAAAATTTTAGCATGCCTCTCTTGGATAAATATCAACATTAAATCAAATCCCAAGTCAAGGTTGCCAAGGGGAAGAGTATTTACAAAGAAAGGAATGGCGTTTTCACCCCTCGCTTCTGAGGGGTGACGATAAAGAGATTCTCCATCAAAGGTGTACCATCAAAAGGTCTACTATGTGGTTGAACTGAGATGTTGGGTTCCTCTTCGCCTCAGCCAGTAGCTGAAAAATAGGGCATTGCTTACTACAGTCGTAGTATGACAACCTCTATAGGTGACTACTTGGCAAGCTGGGAGGTGTAGTTACTAGTTTGCCACAAGAGCAGTGGCAATAATAAAGTTAAGAGTAAAAGAAGGCAAGCAAGCAAGGAGCTGGGAAGAAAAGGTAGCTGTATTCTATGTTGTCTGAACTGAGGGTTCTGTTCAGACAACACGGTTTAGTGTTTTAGCAATCCATAAAAACTAACATTCATCTTTGGTCCAAAAGCTAATTTATTTCCTGTTTGAGTTGTAGAAGCACAGAATTGTTCATTGCTTTGGAAAACTAAAGGGGCAATTCGTGGTGTGTTTGGAAATGTATCAAGTAGGGACATGTGGAACATTCATATGATTATTTGACTTTCCAATAAGATGACATCCCGATTGATGAGGATCATTAAAATAATAGTTTCCATCAGCTTGTCTGTACATAGCTTTGACCAGGGAGGATTTACTCGATTATGGAAACAATTGTCAACTGAGCTTGGAGAAACCAAAAAGCTTTGTCTGTTGATTGAATAGCGGGTAGGACTGGAATGGCTTAAGGTGCCGCAGAGCCATCCCAATGAGACGGTGTACCAGGCTGCACTACCTCACCCAGAAGTACTTCATTGACGATGATATTGAGGAAGTCCAAGTCGATGCTACACAGAATGTTTTTCAGACTTCTGATGTCCAGACAATTGGATTTTAAGCTCAAACTTTTTCTATAAATTTGCCAAAAACAAAACAAAAAAAAAATGCAAAAAAGAAGTTTAGATTTATATATATATATATATATATATATATATATATATATATATATATATACTTGCACCTCAAGAAGAAGGACACACTTTTGAATACCAAAGGTTGAGAATTTGGATAGAGAGGACAGACTAAATTAATCGATTAATTGGTAACTGGAGTAAATAGAGACTCTAAAACATGCCTTTCGCTGACACACTGATTCAATTAGAGCTGTACTTATATCAAGATACAACAAATCTTTATCCGTCAATATTCTCTATCCAGAACTCCTCAATTTGAAAGGTTTTGGTTTCACCTGGTTTAATTTCTTAAAAAAATCTTCTTTAAAGAACCTTTGGCTATCCGATAATTAATTGATTAATCCGAAAAATAATCACCAAATTAATCGATTTGCAAAATAATTGTTAGTTACAGCCCTAGCTTTGACCAACATTTGGTCTGACAAAGCAATCGGTGTAATTTTAATTAATTTAATGGAATAAAAACCTTCTGGGCAGTGATGACCTCCATCCAAACAAACTCAAACACAAACAAAACAACAATCAAGGCCACAAAGGAGCTCAATTAATACTGCTGATCTCTAAGCGGTAAATAATGACACAACAAAGAGTTCTCTGTATTAAAGATTATAAACTAGAGAAACCGTAAATAAAATACACATTTTTAACTCACTGCATCTCTGATGATTACAGATTATTTCAGTTTAACAAAGTGAGCAGAATCTCCATTAAGGATAGGCCTAATCCCAGCATATAGAGGCTGACTGAATCTGGTAAGGACTCTACGGAGGAGAGTCATGGTTCTAGAGACGCTGTAGAAAGACAGAATACCTGCTCTGTGATCCACGTACACTCCTATTCTGGAGGAAACTGGACCTGAAACTGGAGCTTGCATGTAGTTGTGATAGAAGTTATAGCTGTTTGTAAAACACTGCAATGACCACGACTTATCATTAAATCCAAACAAGCATCCATCCGACCACCCTGCTCTATCGATATTCTTGTACGAAACCGCTACATAAACTCCACCTCCTCTCCACTCCACCTCCCAGTAACAGCGGTCAGTCAGACTCTCTCTACTCAGAACCTGATTATGATTAGTAAACCTGTCAGGATGATCGGGATAAGACTGCATTGAGTCCATGAAAGCTACTTTTGTGTTCCCTTCAGATAATGTCAACTTCCCATTTGCTGTGTTTGGATCCAGAGTGATCTCTTGTGAATATTCCAAAAAATCAGCTCTTGTGTTTGGTTCTGGTCCTGACAGTATGATATCCACTCTAGTAGCTAAGTGTGAGATGTTTTTCCACGTGTTTCTCAGGAAATCATCCACTTTCTCTCTGAGCTCTGACACAGCTCCTGTCACTTTCTCAAAATATCTCTGAGTACGAACATTGATCCTGGATGAGTGTGTAGACTCACTGATTGCTGACAGTGAGGGGTAGTTCTGGAGAAACTGGGTGTGATCCTCTGTTTTTAAGAGCTTCTCCAGCTCAGCATCTTTCATTATTAATTCAGTCATTTTCTGCTCCAGCTTCTCCTGAAACTCCTGTATTCGACACACTTCAATTTCCTGCTGGGATCTGATCTGCTGCTGTAGATCCCGTCTTCTTCTCAGGATGAGACGGATCATATCAGTGAAGATCTTCTCATTGTCATCCACTGCTTTATCAGCAGAGCCATTGATGACCTCCACCTCCTGATGAAGCCGCTTCACATCTCTCTTTTGTTCCTGGATTATCTGCTGGATTTGTTGTCGTATCTTTTGGAGCTCCTTCTGCTTCTCGGTCCTTTCTGCTTCAGCTGGGACTGTTTCATGGCCTTTATGGTCATCCATTAAGCAGAGATAACAGATACACTGCCGATCAGTACGACAGAAGATCTTCATGACCTCATCATGATGGGAGCAGATGTTCTGCAGGAGCTTCTTTGATGGATTTGTCAATTTGTGTCTCTTTAATGGCGGAGCGTCATAGTGAGACTGAAGATGAGTGTTGCAATATGAGGCTGGGCAGGATAAACAAGACTTGACAGCTTTCCTCTTCCGCCCAGTGCAGACATCACAGGCCACATCTTCAGGTCCAGCATAGCAGTGATCAGCTGGAGCAGCTTGGAGTCCATTTTTCTTCAGATCCTCCACCAACTCTGACAACACTATGTTCTTCAGGAGATCAGGCCTTGGTCTGAACACCTTCCTGCACTGAGGGCAGCTGTGGTTTCCCCTCTGATCTTGTCCGTCCCAGTGCCTTTTAATACAGCTCATACAGTAGCTGTGTCCGCAGGGAATAGTTGCTGGATCTTTGAGTAGATCCAAACAGATGGAGCAGGAGATTTTTTCTCGCTCAAAATTTGGTACATTTTCCGCCATTTCACCGCTCCGTAACAAGTGTCAGTTTTACTGGTGTGAGTTTAGCTCTCAAAAGTTGGTACTCCTGTGAATCGCACCAGTTCAGTCCTCTCTCTGTCTTGTAAATCTAAAAAATGAACATAGAAATATGTTAGTTCATCTAATTGTGCTGAAATGTAACAGGAATGAAGAGAACTGAAACAATCAGGACAATATGACATATCTATAAAAGAATAGAGGAGCAGTGTAAGGACATATAGAGGGATCTATAAAGCTTGGTCTGTGCTCGCTGGACCTAGTCAGACTGCTTTTTTCCTGTGATTCAGAAGGAGCTGAAAGCAGTTTTCCCTGAAGCCTGCAGCAGCAGAGACAGAGAAGAGCTAACCCAGCTCTGCCAGCCTGAATCTAACCACCGAACAACGGAAACCCCAATCGCTGTTTGTTGAAGGAGCCATTAGAAGCCGCCAGACCCATGACTGCCTGAGACGGAGAGACGGAGCAGCACCGATTAACTGCTGCTACAGGCTGTGGCTAACCACTAGGGGTGGAACGTTCACAAAATCCACGGTTCGGTTCACGGTTTCATGGTCACGGTTTTCGGTTCGGTAAATGTTGATTGTTAGGAAAATCTGTTATGGTCGTGTTGCTGTTAGCATAAACAAAACGTGTTGCACAATGCTTGCACACTGTTGCACTTTTATCCACAACTTTCTTTCGGCCGTCATCGTAGGTCACTCTAAATGCAAAGCGCTCCCATACAGCAGACCTATAAAGTGCTGCTGGCACGTCTTCCAACTCCTGTTCTTTCCCACTCGCCATTCCGACACAATTCTCCACAACAACTGATTTTTTCTGCTACACCCGGCTACGCTGCTTTGCTTCTTCTTATTTACTACTGGTGGTTGGCTTTGGTCGCAGTACCGCCACCTTCTGCTCTGGAGTGTTAACGCTTCGCCTATGAGAAAAAGGAGCAGCGCATGAACCGAACGCAACACACGCAAATCGAACTGAGACAGTCGAACCAAACGGTTCGGACGGTTTTCATAAACCGTTCCATCCCTACTAACCACCGTAGCTAAAAGGAGACGTTTCGGCTACTGTGAGTTTGCAAAGTCGTCTCTTTAAGAGTTTAACTGAATGCTAATGCCCACTACATAGACTGAATGAGTCACGTGTTGCTAAAGCTAATTGCTACATGGACTGGCTAGCACTGAAGCTGCAGCTACCTCATGCTGAATACATTATACATCGTGAGCTAACCCTTTCTTTGTTTCAGTTTGACCAGACCAGAACCAGAAGCCCTGTGGCTAGCTAAAGCCTAGCGTACACTGTGTGATTTTTTGCCCTTTTTCGGGGTCATTTTCCAGTCGTACGAGAATTTCCGATCGGAACGACTTTCAGCCTGTTCGTGCATCGTGTAGCGTAACAAGTGGCGATCAGCCTCTCACGACCACCTCCCAATCAGGAATCGTGAGTTCACGACCATCGTGGGCAAATCGCTCAGGGCGCAAACAACGATTCTTCTTTTTCTTCTTCCTCTCAGATGAAAACACAGCAGCATGGCAATAAGTGAAATGGGGTTCTTTCTGTAAAACTGACAAACCGTAGTAGCCATGTTTGCTCAGCCAAGTCTTTGTCCAAATATGTCTTGGCCTTTTCTTTTTAGGGCTTTCAGCACAAAACTGCACAAATTGCCAAGGCAACGCATTTCACTCTAGTGAGCTTCATATTCGTCTTCTACTGGTTTGTGTCAGGATTTATTCATATTTTATCTGCTGCTATTTCTAAAGGACACTTTCAATGCATTAATCCTTAAACTTTGAACATCCCTCAGACTTTGAAGGGACTTTTAAACACCTATTCCCCTTTTATTTCTTTATTTTGCTTATTTTCAGTAATGTTTTGTGTTTTGCTTAGTTATTAGATATTATACTGTGTGATTGTAGCTAATAATGGTACCATTGTATTTTAACTTGCATTCTTTTGTGTTTATTTTACACAGTGAATGATTAATCACTCAGGCTGGATTCACTCCAGGGGTTGACGTTAAGGATTTTTACCACTTGCCCTTTGGCAATTGGTAAAAATTTGTACTCTCCCGACAATAAAAACTACTTGCCCCGGGAGATCGGGCGATGGTTAACATCGAGCCCTGCACTCTTCTTTTAGTAGCATTTGAATGAACAGAGACACATTTACTTGGTTGGTGATTGTGGTGGATGATCCTCTCACCACCACATCATGTTAGTATTTTTTTCTTGCTTTATATTAGATTACAGTTTATGTTTAAGTTGATTATTTCTTTTAGACAGGTATTTTTTAATGGGTGCAAACTTTAGTTAATGTCTGTCTGAATGGTTTATTTACACTTGTCTTTTGTTTGAGGTGCTGCTGATGCAAACCAGCTGGAGGAGGAAACCTGGAGCGTACCATTTTTGAAAGACTGACGGGGGAGACTTGTTTCAATTTGTTTTCAATTAGTTTGTCACTTAAATACTCGCTTATTGTTTCTGCTCAGTAAAAGTTAGTTTTGCTTTATTTGTTTCATAGAATGGTTAATTTTGTATTTGTTTTATACTTTTATGTTGTGCCTCCCTCATGTGGTAGACTTGGGTTACTCCATCCCTTTTTAAGCAGCCTTTAGTTCTTTGTTTGCAGGTCAGTTTTTTTGTTTGAGTTGGATCCTCAGTTGACTTCAGTTAAGTTGGGCCTGGATCCATGTTATTTTGTATCGCTTTTCAGCCTTTGTTAACCATTTTTGACACAATTAAATGAAAGTACTTTTTCAAATTTTTAACACCTTTTGTCCTTATTTAAGTTTGGTCCCTCACAGTGATTAGTAACGTTGCTAAGAGCCATAGCTTAAATTGCTAAATTGGTGAAAGACAACTGAATTTTTAACAGCCGGATTAAGGAGTCCAATATTTCATGTAAGAGGCTAAAACCCTGGTCAGTAAGGAAATTACAGTTATAATCATTGAACTGATAGTAATTAATTAAAGTATTGAACATGTGAAGAAAGAGAGGTGCCAAAAGGCATGAAGCGCAAGACACCAGCCGAAATCTAGTCATTGCAAGTTCATTAATATCAGCTGGTTGAATCCCAATTGATGGCCTTGCTTTTCATTGTAGCCTATGATGAAGGTTAACGCACCACTTCCTCCCAACCAATTGTAATCACGGACCCAGACACGCCGCCTCCCTCTCAGAGGAAACAGAGGCAGAGGAAACTGGCACAGAGAAGTGTTTTAGTAGTTTGCCAGTTCTGCAATATTTCGTTTACAGCAAGTCAGACAAAAAACAAACCACAGTGATTTGTAAAAAATTCCCACGAGCTATGTTGGCTCCGACACGCTTCCACGTCGTCGTAGGAATCTTAGGGATCTTCTGCCCATAAAAAGCAGGCAAAGCAAACTAACTGGGCTTTCTTCTTGGTGATAAATATGAGAAATATGTCGCCTTTGTCTGTAGTTTTCAAACAGCTGCTCGTCACTCTTGATCCACAATAGGAAGTTTGAAGTTTGAATTAACATATGAAACAAAATGGTGTTCCTAAAAATGATCTCATGTCGTCCTTATTAATTTTCTATCTGCATTCAAGCTCACATACTTTCCATAAATAGGTTGCATGTACCTGGTTTTAACCCCATATACTCAACTCTGGGTTCCTGAGCAAAACCCTTAAACCCACACTGTCCCCGAGCGCCACACAATGGCAGCCCACTGCTCCCAAAGGGGATGGGTCAAAATGCAGAGAATGAATATTGTTGGACAATAAAAGGGATTACATAAATATATATATATATATATATATATATATATATATATA